GCAACAGCAGCACAGGCGCAGGAGGCAGACAACAAGCCACCAGACTCACCGGCGGATGACAACACAGCGCTCATGCAGAGCTACGTCTCCAACGGTGGCCCCCCGCCCGAGAACCCGCGCACCACCGCGCAACAACAACGCAGCCACAATCAACCACCAACAACACGGAGCACAGCACGACTGAGCCGAGGAACCACTGCAGACCCACCGCCAAGAAAGCCAAGCCCCAGCCGACCGCAGCAACCTCGCAGTCGAAGGACCTGGCAGCCCACACAGCAGCAGCAGTAGCAGCGGTGGCAGACCACAACACCACCCACTACACGTCACCACATTCCTGGACGAACAACCGCCCTTCACGGCTTTGCAGCACGGCCTCCCACTCCTACGGGACTTGCTGAGCCACCAGGTGCCCACGTCCTTACCACAACCACCACCCTCACCGGGCAACACAGACAACACCATGCCACCCCCCCCCCCTCCACGACCACCGGGCGAGGAGCCAGAAATGGCCCTCCAGATATCACAATCTCTAACCTCACGCGTGCAACAACTCACCAAAATGCTCACAACCTTCCACATCCCACCAACCAACCCCCCCACATATCACCAGAATGATGTCATCCACATAGACAGCCAAGACTCTCAACAACAGGAAGCTGTCCAACAAGAAGAAGCAAGCCCACCCACGCAACAAACAACAGCGCAAGCACCACCGCACAACACACAGCACAACCATGGTGGGCGCTGGGCAAGCCGCTCCAAAATGCCACTACAGCAGCTGCAACCACAGCAGCCCCACAGATGCATGCCGGAGCACCACCACACCCAGAACACCTTATACCACCACCGCAACACCACTCAGAAAGAAGCAGATCACCCACAAGGTCACAAGAGACAAGACCACAGCAGACAACAGCGCCACAGCCATGGTGGGTACTAGGAATACAGCAGCCGCAGCCACAAACCACAAGCCAACACTGCACCAACCGCAAGAAGACAAGCCCAAGCCACAGATGACGCTGGCAGACACACCAAGCCAGCTGACCATGGCGACAGAGGATAAGCTCTTCCAGGTAACGACCGACAACGAAGAGGCAGCCCTCCACAAGACGAACTGAGAGCACCTGAGAGCCCACTCCAAGGAAACCCACAAACACTAGTGCTCCAAATTCAGATTATCTAATATATAGAATGGCTGAGGCAACTAGTGAGAACAGCGGGGGTGAGGCAACAGCTGCTTTGTAAACCCAAGGTGCGTGGCTAACATGTAACATAGCGGATCCGCCGAACTCTATTGGGCCACAGGGCCAGACAAAAATTCCTTGAAAGAAGAAAAGCCTTGAAAGGCCAAGTTTCATGGACGGGGACCATGAGCCCAAACTGTTCACCCTACAAGCTGTGTTTGAAACAGTTACCCCCAAGAGCGGCGATCCAGAATAACTTCGGGCACGCGGTCAACGTATGATGGTCCACTTTCAAGGGGATAGCAGGCCTGAAGTGATGGTTGCCACACCTTGAACTGCGTTGCTGGTAGCCACCACTGCTCACCTCAACCCTGGCCACCGACACCCGGTATAGTCAACCAAGCTCCTTCTTATTTTTGCAGTGTTCAGGTCGAGCCAGCAGCCTAGTTAACACATCAGGCAAACGCCCCATCTAAGCCAACCTCTTTCTCATACCCATCAACTATCTAGCAACAACTAAGCTCGGTGGGGAAATGAGGGGTATAGTTCTGACTCTCAACGAAGCCCAGCACGGGCTGGGCAGGAGCCCGGGTTGGCCCCAGTGGCCAGCCCATAGCCCGCACGAAAGAAAGAAGAAAAGAAAGAGAGAAAGAAAAAGAGTGACACCTCTACACTTTCCGGGAGTCCTTGTGGCCTTCGTACTGTTGTGCAGACGCCTGAAGGGCAAAACTCTGCAGCCAAGGGCAACCCCCCGCAACAAGAACTCAAGAAATCGAGCCCAACAGCTGTTGGGGCACGACCATTCTGCTGTTGTTGCCCCAGTTATTGGGAAGGCGCATGGACCCAGCTGGTCTGGACCGACTGACAGCCCCATAATCGTCCCTAGAACTCTGTATGGCTCTTAGGGGTGTGTGTGCTGCTGTGGTCTGGGGTATGGCAGGGCAGTGGACATGTGATACGGTCACAGTTTTCTCCTCCCATCCTGCAGTTAGGTGAAAGCCCTGGCTTTCATCGTCCCATGTGTCCACACGTTCTCCCGAAGGCCGTTATCTGCTGACACAGTCGCCCTCGATAAGCCTTGCATCATTGCACATGTGACAGTATTGTTCCCCAAAAACCGTTAGCTGCTGACACAGTTGCCCTGAACGAACGTGGATGCCAAGGGCATAGGGCGCACGCCAATGCAGGGAATGGGGCAGCGAGTGTCTTTGTGAGGTAGAACTTGTCGAGCTGGTTTTTGCTCTCATGCTTGGTGCTGCTACTACTTTCGTTGTGCAAACCGGAGGACACTCCGGAGGTATCTAGTCGGCATGCTCCGTGCAGTTTGCATCTGGCTAGGCAGGATGTCTCGCAGCTGGCTTGAGGTGGGGGATTGTTGACCTTGTGAGGTGCTTGGGTGATGCTTGGTATACTGTGGTTTGTTGTAATCCCTGGGCTCGCCAGTACCGACCGGACGAGACAGGCAAGCTGCGTGAGGGCTCGGGGTCGGACCCCAACTTCCCCGTGAGGGGGGCAGCTTAGCCCGAAGAAGAAGAAGAGAGAGAAACCCGGCAGGGCCTCAGGGTCTTGCATAACCCATAGAAGAAGACAGAGAATGACAGAGACGTGGGAATGGTATGATGGGTTTTGGGTGGTAAGGGAATTCCTGCTGTAAGGTGCGGGGAATTAGATGCCGAAGACGGCAAGAGAACGTACAATTCGTTGCACAGAAAGCAAACACGCACCAATTAGAGAAGCTATGCTCCATGTACATGATACGCTTAGAGGTAAGACAGCGGGAGAATCCTGCACCACACAAAGGGAAAACCTGGTTCAGTTAGGAGTAAAACGGGCGGTTGGGTTCGAGAACTACCTTTGTGGTTTTTCCAGATGGTGAGAAATCACCGAGCTTTTGGGAAATGGATGCCTGAGATGCGGGGGCCGGTTGTAGGGAGGTAGGTCAGGCCAACTCTTCCTCGGCAATCTCTTCCGCGTTTTCTCCTAGAAAACATGCTGGCCGAAACGGGTTCAATGGACATCGGACAGCTGGGAAATTCTCGATCCATGTACAAACTGATGGGGAAATCAGCGCGTGGGGCTGAGCCCCGGCGTGACCCTTTTGGGACACGCAGAGCGCATAGAAGAAGAAGAAGAAGAGACGTTGTGTCCCCGCAAGGCGAAGCCCAACACGGGCAGGGGGGAGATTCCAGGGGTCGTGTAATAGGCTTGCCTCAGTGCCCGCACAAAAGAAAAAAAGAGATGATGAGACTCACACATTGCAAGTCCAAGTACATGGTTGTTCGAACAATTCTCCAACACGCGGTTTTGTTCAGCACAGAGAGCCAGCAGTAAACAAAGGCTACGGTCCTCTTGGGCGGGCTGGTGCTCAAGGACATCAACCAAAATCCGTGACTTGCCAAGGTTTAGCTTGTTGAAGTCCGTATTGCGATGGGTTAAGCTTAAAAGCAACCCAGTTTAGGCACTTGCCATGCCCGGTTCAGCATCATTCTGCCGCAGGTTTGGGGAAGGACAGTTCAACAAGCTCTTCAGCTGAAGCATGGCAAAACATGTCATAGCATCACAAGGCCTCGGAGCCGGGTCCAGTAACGGACTCCAACAGCGAGAATCTGGTTGATGAGGACTTGGAAGCACTCCGGGCTGAATTTCTTTCTTCCGCGCAGAAAGACACATTTAAGGGTTGAGCATGAAGTGTGCCCGCTGTTTACTCGTGGAGCCTCTCAGTGTGTAGGGCCCCTTTCCAGGGCCCACGCGAGACCAAAGGTATGAAGTGGTATGGCAACAGCCCCCAACATGTTTGGACATGAGAAGCATTTCCACTCAACAGGGCCCATGTTCTTGGTGGATCTTCGTGGGTTGGGTCTTAGCGAATTGTTGAGGCTTAGGCAGAGCAAGTAATTGCTGTAACTGGGGCTCTGAGAATCGGATGGGAGCTGTTGGGCCTCCGAACCCTCAAACTGCTTATCTGACAGTATGTATGTATGCGTATGCGACAGAGAGTCCCGCATTAAAGCGCAATTGTAGATACCATGTCAAGTGGGAGTGTGGCAACTGATGATGACCAGAGGATGTGGATGATGAAGATTGGCGCTATGGACCTCTCGGCAGAGCTGGCAGCTTGGTCCAGTTCAGCAGGCACATGTGATCATGAAGCCGTGGATGCCTGCACCTGCTAAGGCGTGCTTAAGGATGAGGAGGACTCGCAACCCGACATACCCACCAAGAGCACTGCCTCAGAGGTGCAAATTTTAGATTATTACTGAAGCCCAGGCAGCTCTAGGTAGTGAGGCGATGAATTGACATTCTCATCATGCCGCTGCCTTCGCGCAGTTGCCACATATGTTCTGATGACTAATTGCTAGTCAGAAGGCACGACGAGGGATTCGGTTTGGAATGGGGTGATGGCAAAGTGTTGCTCGCTGCTGGATGCGGGCACTAGGGCTCCTGTGCAGGCACGTGCCTCACCCTCTGCAGAGCCGCTGCGGCATGATGAGGCATCGGAGGTTTTAGGTGGATTCTTTGGTGCAACCTTTTCAAGCCGGCACAGCACATGCAGAGCCTTGAGATGTACAGTCTGGACACTGCCTGCTTCGCAAAATGTTGAGAAAGCCTCCCCCAAAATGAAGCACAAAAAGACAACACCAAACTGTGAAGGGCAGAAACAGGTGCAGCCTCGCACCATCTGGGCCTACTGGGCACAGGGCCACGAGCCACCTGCCTTGGTCGGACTCACTGCCACATCAGTTCTTCCTGTTGCTTTGGTTCCGACCGTCATGTGAAGGACAGACAGATGGCAAGTGGCATCGTTGGCCTAGGCAGATGCCGGAGTTCTTCAAGATGTGCGTGGACACCTGGCAGCGCGTCAATCCACACTGGGATGCTCCTCGGCCCAGAGATTCTTCTGGTTGAAGCGAACATGGCGAACGCACTGTCAACAGTTGGCGGATGTCGTGGGCGTTGCACAAGCTGTGGCACTTTGCACTAGCACTTCAGCAGAAGAGTTTCACAGCGTCTCAGCTTTGTTCAGGTGCGCATCTTACAGAAGTCTACGGTCTTGGAGTGCCTTAGCATGAAATGCAGGCTTGTCCAGTTTGCTACAGAGAGACCTCCCTGCCCACATGTGGCTTGAACGTCATGCAGATGGTGAGCATGCGTAATCGGCTCTCCCGATCAGTCCTGAATATACGCAAGAAATTCAGGACGTTTCACGTGTGAGGTACCTGACGGAGGATGAGCTGCCCAATCGCTTCATGGACATGACTTCGCACCAGACAGTCACTTGCTGGGCTGCTAGGGTACCTGCCAGATGCAGTTCCTTCGACAGGTGACCTTGCATTTTGCCTCTCAGAGCCGAGGCATCCGACGCCGTACGGCTTGGAGTCCTTAGCCGGTATGGCGGAGTCCCTTGCCAACTGGAAAACACTGGGAGCACTTCAACGGTAGCAAGTGCCATTCCCTACCTAGGATTCAGGATTCGCCATGCATCGAAAGGATGATCCGTTGTGTCTTAGGCATGAACTCATTGTAAGCAGCACTGCATGAAAGGTTTGGATGGATGTGAACATCCTTGTTTGCGGGAGCCTGGACAAGCTGTGCTGGAATGCCATCTCCTGGGGGCAGAGACCTGCATGCGCGTCTTTCCACCACTTCAGCCGGCATTTTGAACGGTGTCATCTGGGAGTGCGTCACACTGTCGCGCATCTCCTGACGAATTAGGTTTTCTACCACCCGTCCTACGGAACAGAAGCGCTGGGCGGGCAAGACTTCGTTGAAAGTAGCTTGACGAAACTATGCAAATGAGAAGGTCTCTGCTGCTAGCTGGGAGATCAAATCAGGTTGGTTCCTGGCGACCGGCCCGGGCAATCCTTTCTTCATTCGCTGGCGTGACATCTTCAAGGCATTCCTCTAGAGTCTGCTGGCTGGTTCAGCTTAGATTTGCCCAAGGGGAGTGTGCTGACAAGCAGATTAAAGGGCGTGCGCGCGCGTGGGCAGGAGCTGTTCCAGGACCGGCTGGACATACAAGGGCTGCTGAGCCATCCTTTCTACAAGGTGCAAGCTTTTCAGACAATTTTGGGCTTGCAGTTACCAACTGTCTGGAACTGGAACAGTGTTTCTGCGACTTGGACTTGCTTGAGCCTCTACATTCTGCAAATGCCATGCGAAGTCAATGATCATCGCATGTAGGGCCTGGACCTCTCTGGATTTGAGAAGCTGAACAACGACTTCAGCGGGTCAGGCAGCTTCCAGTCCGTGAAGTATTCCATCAAATCTGTTCGCATGCCGGCAGCAGAGTGTTGGCGTGCATGGCACGCTGTCTTCTTCAGCGGAACCACCCTATGGCATGGCTCCAAATCCCGACCTCCAACTGGCGATGTGACTTCCTTTTTTGCGATCCTGACCTCTTCTGTGGCAGGCATGGAGTTTCGAGAATACCTCGCTATCCATGCCATGTGCAGCTTGGACGAACTCACAAGTAAACATGCGAGAGACAGGGCTCCGGAACGGCCCAGGCCATCGACTACTGGAGACAGAGCCCCAGGCGCGACGCCTTTGGCGTGATCGATTTATCCAGGCCTGGTGACGGACAAATGGGACTGATTATGATGGCCTCTTTGGTGCGGTTGCCCGTCGGCCCTGTTTGCATAAATGGATGCTTCAAGCGCCACTGCTCTCAAGGTCAATGCCGCTGACACGGTGTCTTGGCTGTGACCGGCTGCAAACGCGTCTGGCCTTCTAATGTGTCTGAGTATTTTTCAGTTTGGTGGAAACTGACTCAGAAGCAACTTTTTGACACGATGGCACAGCAGCTATATGATATTGACAGCAAACAGCACAGCATGCTAAAGACGCGCCAGATCTTGAAACGCAAGCATCTCAATCTCTTCAACTGGTCTGAAGCAGCTTAAGCCTTCAGTTTCACGATCGAGGTCAGGAATGCTTAGTTGTTGTCGTGAAGGGCTGGGGAAGCAAGATCGATTTGCATTCCATTTGAGCGGACAGGCAAGACAGCCAGGCGGATTCGCATCAAGTAGATGCGGATGGGTGTCAAGATTACGGCATGGACGTTTTGATGGCAGATTGAATACAGAAGTATCTTGTACATGCTTTTAAGCCTGGCCGAGGCATTCAGACTGCAAATGGTGGCTCAAGCCAGTAACCTCCACATGGCGCAGGTATCTTGGACATTGCATTGCAATATTGCCAAGGTCCGATAAGACTATCAGTGCTGCCTAAGAACACCTGCTGCCGCGCAATGTGCGTCTCACTCGGAACCTACAAATGTTCAGATTCCTAGGTCTTGAAGTCCGTTGTTGACGCAGACCTTACACTCTAAGCGCGACTGCACGTGGGCATATACATAATAGATACACATATGTATATATGTGTGTGTATGTACATGTATATGCGCACCCCCCATGATGAAGCCCACATTTTGCGGAGTTCCTGGCTTTTCTGATGTAACGGACTGCTCTACATGTACAACAAAAGCCAAAAATACTCAGCCTGACCGAATCTCCTGCAACCAGATCATTGTAGTCCAATCTCAATGCTTGGCGAGAAAGGGCTCCCTTGCTCTATCCGTTACTCTCTACAACTTGCTTACACATATTTTGATCCACTAGATCAAACAAATCATTTTGACTTACAAGCTTAAACTTTGGCCTCTTTCCTTGAAGACAATTGAAGTCACCCAACACGCATGTCGGTTACCATCGACAAGCTGCTTTCGGTAACAGAGTGAAAGAAAAATGAATAGATAGAATGGGTCTATATATATATATGTATATATCATAGTATTGCCTAAGCAAATGAACCGTTATTTAGGTTGGAGAGAAGGCTAGCCTTGACTTCCTAATCCTGTTGAGCATGTGGTTGGATGACGCTACTTCATTAACTCGGTGAACTAGGTTGAGGCCTTGGCTTCTTTGGTCCGGCGGTTCAATTTACTGGAAGAAGAAGAGAATGTGTGGGTTTGGCGAGCTAACCAATTCCTAGACTTGGATTGCCTGGGGGCTCCTAGTCCAAGCAAAACGCAGGGTTTGATTAATTTCACCATAGAGATCGGGGCCTCGAATTGCAAGTTGGGCTTAACAAGATTCTTTGATTTGGGCCTGTAAAGCTACTTAGTCCAAAAATGCGAGTTTATAGATTCATTGGGTCAGGAGATCGAAGCCATCACCAAACCGATCGAAGTAACTAAAAACTTCGATTAGGTGTATGACTAAAGTGTTCGAGTGTATAGTATGGGTCATTCACCTGTATGCTTGACAAGTGTTTTTGGTGTGAGGTCAGGATGTTAGGTCTCTTTTCTAGAATGCAATCCATATGTGTGCGCTTGTAAAGTTGTGGCATCGTCGTCATCCTTGGAGTTGGACGCTCTTACACCAAATTAGGGGTACATTTCCTAGTAATGGAGAACCAACTGGAAAGTTAAATGGAAACGGGGGTAGGGGTTATATGGGGATACATATATATATACACCCTAAACCCTAAACACATTTACAGATACACGAGGTTGGGAGTGAATAGCCGAGTTCAGACTGCAGCGGAGCTCATAATGGGCATTTAGGGTTTAGGGTTACCATATAACGGGTATACATAGCAGTTAATAGGGTTTAGGGTTTAGGATTTAAAGTTTAGGGTTACTATATAACGGGTATATCTCTATATATATACATATTTCCCCAAGCATTATGATTCGCATGCAAGATTACTAGGTCCTTTGATTTCTCTATTTTCCAGATCTCCATACTTATCCAGGCGGCACACATGCTGCCCTGTAGTTTGGGCGAGCCTTTATTACTGACCATGTTCTCAATACCGATTTGGCAACATATAACCTGCCCAAAAACCACTGGTCTTTGCAAATGAATGAGAGACTTCCGAACTTTATAGATTCCAGGACTCAAATTGTCTTTACTTTTCTAGATTTCAGGTCCCCAACATTTCCAGGTTTTTAGATGGAGATTTCATAGATTTCCAGATTTCGAGATCTCCAGACTAGATTTGTCGGGAAATCTAGAAAACATGGGCCCAAGAAATCCAGAAATCTTGGAACCTGCGAATTTGTTTTTGGTTTTGCTTTGGACGGCGCTCCGAGAGCATATCCACCCACCAACTGCCCGCCCACCTACTCACTCCCATCACACAACAAAATCTTGAAAAGCACTAACAGGGTGATCAAGGAGCCCAGTGACCTGGGCAGATGTGGGGTGTATGAAGGGAAGGTACCAAATATACACATACACATGTATGCATATGTATTTCTGTGTGAAATCTGCCATGTCTGGTCAGTGCATTAATTATGTTTGTTGTTGTCGTGGTTACCTGGTTCGGTTCACTCTTGCTACTGCGCAGCCGGTGCTCACTGCAACTTTTGAACCGGTCACCGAGAGATTTGCACGCTAAGGTACTCCTGCTGGAAGATGGCCGTGCTGGACAGCTTATCGACGGAGTCCCGCCGCTCCGATGTTCCCAGGGCCCAGCAGACAAAGAATTAGCCTCGCAGTTAGCCTGTGTTGGCTAATCCGTTGAGCTGGGGGAATAGTGTGATTTGAGCAAGTCGAAGCAGGTTGCAGCCAGTCAATTGCAGCATTTAAATTTGGCCTATCCTGAGCTGGACTTAACATCTGATGAAATCGTTCGTGCGGCCCAATTGGAATCTGTCCGAGGTTGATCAAGTTCCGCACGCCAGACTATGGACCCCTGCTGCAGCTATCGGCAGCGCAGCTGAAAGACCGGCACAAAAGATGTTTGCACGATCGGCTGAGTAGCTTGCCGCAGCACTATCTGCAGGACCAAAAGCATTTGCTCGGGCGCTTGCTTGATCCGCCTGATGCCGCAGAGGAGCCGCCTTGACAAACCAAACAGAGCCCAGACGACTGCAGTGTCGTTGAACGTGGCATCGTGGCATGGCCTGTCTGCTCTTCTTGCCTCTTTGAAACAGGCCATGCGAAGGCCGGCGGTATCTGCACGGGCTGCCTATGGTCCCGCGGCCGACAAAAACGTGGATAAGAGCAGACTGGAAGGTGTCCCCATACCCAAACCTCACGGCTAAGTAGACTTGAGCATCTTTGCGCATCAGGGATGTTGCAAATGCAATTCATTAGCATACCGTGCAGAGGAGTTGCAACGCTGCCCGCTCAGGCTCCGTGCCACGATGGGGCGGCCGTCGCTATCTTGCCAAGGGCTTACTGCTTGTTCAGGGTCACGATGCAAACTGTTTTGTGAGCTGTGCCAATTCTGGTCTGCAATGAAGTCGATATTTCAGAGTCTTGCAGCACTGAAAGCTGGTAAAACAGAATGATAGATGATAATATATATGTATACTCTATATATATATATGTATATATTATACAGCTGGCAGGTGACTGCGAGCCTGGCTGCTGCGCTGTGCAGGAAGGGCCGCTTTTCGCAAAGAGATCAGACACAATCTATGAATGTGGCAGGGGCTCGCAAGTGGTCTTGCCAATGGGCCGCGGTGTGCTAGCAGGCACCGGGTGTGCGATCTCATGCATCTCAGTGATTCATGATTCAGCGAGAATTTCAGGGTGCCTTGTTTGGCTCATTGTATGCAGAGGCGTGTCGCCTCCATCTGTCCGTTCTTTCCGCCCTGGCCTTGAGCCTCCCCTGCGCGGGTTGAGGCCTGGCAACATCCCCAGAAACAGTTTTTGTAGCCATGGAACCGCCGCTTTCAAAGGCCGGCTTCTTGGGCATGCAGAAGCTGTTGATGCGATGCTGCCTGGTTGCAGAGTAACAGCGCAATTGCAGCTGTGGATCGGTGATCCTCCAAGCTCTTGCACTACCAATCCCGAATTCCTGCTCCGGCGCAGGTGGGACCACATCACAAAACCTGGCCCACGACCAGCCCGTGAACCGCCCTGTATCGCGATATCACAAACAGAATATGTGTGTGATTAGCTGAGCCTGGGAGCGCTGGCCTCATCATATCTTGTCATGAAGCGCTGTTCTCGCAGCACATGCTTCCTCAGCAATCGGCGCTCCCAGTCTCTGAAGAGGATGAGCATGCTCAAAAAGTGCACGGCCAGGCTTTCCGTTCACGATCTGCCTGAGCAAATCCCATTCTCCCAGAAAAGCTAAAGAGCTTCAGAATCTTGGGCCGTCTCGGCCGTGTCAGGTTGTTGCCACTTCCTCCTGGAAGTGTGTTACCCTGCTACCTGTTGTTGTTTTCCCATTTTGGGGTTGTCACTGCCGCAGTTACTAGTCAGTGGCTCTAGATGCGCAAATTCACATGAGTCCCTGTTCCTGTAGGTTTTGCTTCATGCCGGTCTAGTTTTTGGCTAACGCGGATTGTTTTAGCTCTCCGCTTGCACGTCTTGTGCAAGGGTGATTGTTGCATTTTGGGCTGGTATGTCAATGGCTTAAAACGCCCTGGCCAGGTAAATTTGACAATCCTTTTTCGTTTCTCGACCCCAGTTCATCCATACATGGCATAAGCTACTCCTATCAACATACAGTCAACAGTTCAAAGACGCTCCAAATCCAGATTAGGCCGGGGCTTGCTGTAGAGGCTTGGGCTGCCAGCGCCAGCCGGCGCTGCAGTCCTGAGGCAGCCACCCAGGTGGGGACATCAGAGCTCAACAGTCCCTTGGACGGTGGGTTTCGTATCTGTGTTTCCAGCGCATTCGCTCAAATGCTTTAAGACTTTAAGATTCCCGTGTTGCTCATCTCGTGTTTTGAGATGTCCTGATGTAAGGTTGTGAGTGGTAGTGCAGGAGAACGCTGAGAAGGGTATTGGAAGATAGCGGTACCGGCACCATTTACAGGAAGACTGGCCACAAGAAAACAGCAGCGTCATCTGTGAGCTTCATTCATGCTTTGTGTGGTCGAGACGGAGAAGCAGAAACCTTTTAAAAGGATGTAAAAGGATTGGCGCCTAGGGAATCATAGCCAAGTGCTGTGAAACCTGCAACGCTGCAAAACGACCGGGGTCAATCCAAGGCGTGGCATCCAAAGGCGCAGTTGTTCTTGTGGGTCGGTTGTGCATCTCCCATGCTATGCTGTTGAGGCCACCCTCCAACGTGAGGTCGCCATTGTCCAGGTGAAGCTGCAAGAGGAGCAGGTGCGAATGTGCGATCGCTGATTAACCTCCGAAGGTTAAGCACTGGTCTTGCAACAAGATGTCCCATCAGTTGTAATGAGTGGCCCAGGCACATCACATGGCTAAAAATCGAGTTTGCGCCGCAAAAGCCAGGCTGCCCTGCGTTCAACGCAGACTGAACTGCAGCACGCAGAGGCGGCGAAGAGCGGCTTTTACAGTTTTGGGGTGCAGGTGGCTCATACAGACCAGGTACTGCTGCGTGGGTGCATCATAAACAGAGACAGAGAAGCCAATTCGGCATAAAAGCGGATTACTGCGAACCCTTGACATTGAGTTCCGGCGTGATCACCTGAGAGCAGATCGAGAAGTTTAGTTGGGGATCACGGCGCTTCGTCTTCAGATGCAGATGTCTATTCTGCAGCTTTTTGGCTAAAGCCGTGCTAGGTAGACATATGCACTGCAAGGCAGCACAAAGAGCATTCATGGTATGACCGTGCGCATTGTGGCGCTTTAGGAAACAGAGCGGGAACCGTAGCCAAGACAATGTGAGATAGGATGAGCAACACTTTAAATTCCGAGTAGATGCTTGAAGCACCTGCTGTAGACATGACTGTGACTGCTGTGAGCGAGCCCTTGCAGAAGTGCCACTCCGGCTGCACTAGTACTCCGTGATTCGTGATGGGAACCCTTTGCATCTCGCGCATCACTCTGATGCCGCTCCTTGTTGCAAAGGCTTGGATGACTTGACCAAGCACTTCGAAGCCCTGGAGTCACAAAACGTGGCCATGCGGAAGGAGATCCAAAAGCTGTGGCTTGGCAGTACTAGGTTGAGTGAAGCAGGAGCACCATCATAGACTTCGTAATCTGCGACGTGGTTCTCTGCAGGTCATGATTTTTACACCAAGGTCATAAACATAGTTGGAAGGAGTAGGACTAGTAGGTAGATGCGTCATAAAGTTGGAAGGAGTAGGACTAGGGATCCTGATGCCATGTTTCGGAGAGTTTGAGGTCAGCAAAGCTTAACCTCCAGGATGCTGAAAGCCAGAGCCCCTCTGCTGCAATGCAGGTTATATTGGGGTTATATATGGGTTTAGGGTTTAGGGTTATATATGGGTTATATTGGGGTTATATTAGGTTTATATTGGGGTAATTGGGATAATGGAAAAGAAAATGGAAACTATATAGATATATAAAGATTATCTAGGGAACTTGCTGTCGCAGCATTTCAGCCCAGTAACACCAGCGCGTCCGTAAGCTGAGGAATGGAGTTGGTTGGTGTGGTGCCAGATTCACCACCGGACACAGAGCAGGAGGCCGGGCCGAGAAATGTTTTTGGCAAACCAAAGGATGGCATGGATGGCAAGAGTTGTGCTTCTTGTTAGGCGGCTTGAACGACAGAGTCTTGAGTTTTAAGTAAGGCTCAGTTAAAATGGGATGGTCCACTCCCAAACATGGATGCAGCAGCAGCAGCAGCAGCAGCAGCCCACCAAGTCCGTCATCGCCGCCACCTCCGCCGCCACTACCTTCACAACGTTCACTGGCACCGCTACGTACGTCTTTTCCTCCAATTACCGCGATTCACACCTTCAGTATTACTCCAGCATCACGGTTTTCAGCGCTGCTTATGATAATGAACAATATAACCCCAAGATAACCCCTACATAGCAAGATTATACTATAGGTGTTTCCATTCTCTTTTCCATTGTCCCAATCTATCCCCCAAGTATACCCAAGTATACTATAGTAGTTTCCATTTTCCATTCTCCCAAAGTGGCCTGGCAAGGTAGAGCTGAAGCCACCGCCCCTTCCGGAGGCATTGATGCTTCACAGGGTAACCTTTTAGGGTTTAGGGTTTAGGGTTTAGTTTTGCATGGCAGGTCCCTTCAAAGATGCAAAAGAAGTGTAAGCCTCTGTAAGCCTGTGCAATGAATCATCGAATGCATCCTTCAACTTGTGGCGTGACATGCGTGGCTCACGAAGTAAGCCAGGGTGTCTGGAAGAGAATTGCAGCCCATCCCAAAGCCCAAAGCAATACCAAACGGGTATATGCCAGAAGAGCCAAAATTGCTGCGGTTTGCAAGGTCGAACCTCCGATTACGGCTTTCAAATCGCGACAGAACACTGAGAGATCCGAGCTCAAGGCATTCCTGGTGAATGTGCAACACTTCTTCAACAGCTTCCTGACATGTCTACCAAAATCGATGCAGCTGCCCACACAGCAAAACTCTCTCCGGCGAAGTCGTCCCCACGTGCAGGTGATCAGCTCTAGCAATGCAATCTCTCAGTTGGAGGTGTAGCTGAGTTCTACTAGGTTCTACCTCATGGTCTCTCCTACTGTACAATCTTGTACCTGCAGGCCAGCGCGCCACTGAAGCAGATGAGCCTGTCTTTCCAAGACACCTCCAACTGGGTTCTTCTGCCGGCAAATGGTCTCGTAGAGCAGTAATGTGGACGTGTACGGATATGCTATCTATCGTGAGATGATTCGTGACTGCGGGGATTAATCAAGAGTAGTGAGCTTTGCTAAACTTATCTTCAGAACAGTTCGCAGCTTTCCCGAGGTGAAGAGCCTCAAGGCACGTCCCGACTTTCTTGTTGTATCAGAATGTGTGGCATCAAGATCATTACTCGAGTGATATAGTACGTTACTCGCCCAACTAATACCACCGCCATCAGCAACGCCGACCGCCACCACCACCATCGCCACCACCACCATCGCCACCACCACCATCGCCACCACCACCACCATCACCACAGCCATGACCGTCGAGCGCTGTCGACATAAGACAGTTTTCATCATGGCGACGGCTTCTATTGTCTCTTATGGCTACTCTGACGATGCTAGGGGGCCGGTGGCATGCTTGGAGCTGCTCGATTGGGCCAGCTGCCCCTTGGCCAGAGTGGCTTTCATTATTTTGGAGTGTTGCAAATGCATAAACGGCACAACTGCCTGCGAAATGGTAGGGAAGCATGGGGCGCACGTGGGCCTCCATGGCAGGATGCAGCTAATTGAGCAGAAATTGAGCAGGGTTTTCTGCAACGTAAAAAGCGTCATAGCTGCAAGAGTGTCTGCAACGTCTCTGGCACTCGGTACGTGTAGGTTGTCTTATCTGCGCTTTTTGGGTATTGCGCAGAAGATTGCATAGGCCAGGCAGCATGGGCCACGTAGGTAGTCGAATAGAACGAGGGTGCCCCCGTAGCCTGCTCCGCGCAGGGCAAGGAGCGATTAGGCGAAGTCTGCGTAGGCCTTCTTCGTGAGTAAAAGACGTGTAAAAGCAATGGTTAATTGCAGGTGGGTGGCACGGCCCTGGGGACATTTCTTTGCCGCGGCCAGTTCAGGGGATGCCCTTGCTTTTTTTCTATTCTGTAAAACGGTGTCTTTTGTTTACCTGTCTTCAGGAAGAGGCCGCCAACAACCTCTCCAGAGCATGCTCCATTGAAGAGCCACTCAGAGTGAACTGAGACCAGAAGATCTGGCAAAATGTGTGTTCATGATCAGTACAGGCAGGCGGCAGGTCATGGCGTGTTGATGGTGGTTGTGCAATGCTACTTTTTCTGGAAATGGATCTTTGGCATACCCTTTCATGCCTGTTACTCGTGAACACAACTTGCCCCTTGATCAACACAATGGCAGCAATGCTTGCTTAGCGCCCTGCACTGCGAGGGACA